TATAAGGGTTTTAAAGATTATTATAATACACTTCATGGGAATTTCTAAGGTTAAGGTGTTCCCCCTAACTTTGGATGAAGTCAGGGGATTGAGAATCAAAAAAATAGTAGTTAGATGATAAGACTTAAGTAAGTTACCTTCCAATATCTGTATTCAGAGGTTACCAGTAGAAATGAATTGGACTTTCCTAAATTTAACAAGGACAGAAATGCAAATATACTGCAAAATTGATATGGAAACTATAGAAATAACTTAATATCTACTAAGAAGTAAAAGCAGAGACAAATGATGGATAAATCCTTCCAAAATGACCGAAGTATTTATTGCTTTGTGTCTTTCAATGCACGTCATTCCAGGTCCTGTGCCACTTGTTTTGAAGCTCACATTTGTGACCACAAAAGGTGATTAGGGAAGATGTTCACGCTCAAGGATGACTATATTCACATTTTATTCAAGTCACATAAGAATCACAGTTCTTTCGAGTTTCAACCCGTTTGGATTTTGCTTCCTTTTTGAACAAAGATAGGGTCTCACATTCCCTGACAATTTGTTTGCAATTGCCATGACAATGTAACATTTTCCAGCCTGTCATAGAATTTACATGACATAAGAATATGAATGCAAACATATGAAAAAAAACCAAAACCCTCAGGTGGTTGTTAATTTTGGGCGTTGTGTAATTAAACTAGTTTTTTGAATGTTATCTTTTGCCAGTATCTAATTAGCAAAGCCATCTGCTGAAAGAGTAGTGGCCCATCTGCCTAGAATATTGTTCTCTTCATTTTTATGAAAAGTGTCTGCCTTTGCTGGTCCCTATCTAATTAACTTCTCTCGCAGTGGAGTGTGATGATACACAGCTTTGTTTATATACTTCAGAGAACTGTGGATTTATATGTATATAACACATACATAAAAAAGAGCCAATCTCTTTTTCTTTCCCACATCTGATTTACTCCTGAGATCACAGTTCCATTTATCATAACCGGAGCATGTCTGTGTGCAGGGCGTTCAGATATGTGCTGTGTCATGAAACCATAGGAGCGTCATTTCATCCCTGGGGTTTCTGCAGATATAAAATGATTTTTCTGTAAGCCGCCTCTGTCTGTTGTTGTTGTTTGTCTTGGTTTATTTTTAGGTCTATTTGTAGCACTGTCACTTCTTGAAAGTTGATAACATTGTTAAGTCAGATTGTATCACTGGGTCCAAGATGAACTTGCATGTGGCTTCTGTAACAATGAAAAAGAACAGTGTTGCATTCTCAGATTGAATGTGATGCTGTCTAGGCTGATGGAATTTACTTATGTGTATTGTAAATTAGTGTCTGATGTATATAAATGTTATCTATCTGTCTGTTTTTCCTTCCATCAGTCATCTAGCAGAGTGTCTTGCACTTGGTAGGTACCTAATGAATATTTACTAAATGAAAAGAAGAATGAATGCATGTACATCAAGCAAAATTTCTGTAAGTTCATTAGTACAGATTTTATTTGTATGTGTTTGCAGAAAAAAATTGCTCCATGAACAAGAGTCTGTCTTTTAAAATGTAGATGTTTCAAACTCACTGCCTAATATATATAGTCTTTGAATATTCAAGTAACCACAATATCGCTGCTGTATAAGTGCTGTTGAAATGTATGCTGCAAACTAAATGTTGAATGGAATAGAAAAGCAGTATTTTTTTTTTCATTCCTGGGCTGTCATGCAATAGGAAAAAAAACAAAAGATGATAGAAACTAAATATTTTTAAAAAGGAGACTCAGGAAATAAAAGCATGAGTGTTGTGTTGAGATCTGAAATATAAAATGCTTTAGCATTTCTTTTGACAGTTCAAAACGAGTGGAAATGGGTGAAAATATGTCTTAAAATGAATTTGAATACAAGTAGAAAGATAACTTCTCAAAGCTGTAGAGCAGGGGTCCTCAAACTTTTTAAGCAGTGATGCAGTTCACTGTCCCTCAGACCGTGGGAGGGCCGTTGGAGAGAGCGGCGCGCATTCCACACATGCGCACTGTGGGCCCGGGACGTGTCCGCTGCTAAGCAGGACAGGCAGCGGTGGCAAAAACACCTGGTGGGCCGGATAAATGTCCTCGGGCACATGTGGCCCGCGGCTTTAGTTTGAGGACCCCTGTGAGGGATTTGTTCTAAAATAATGATACCTGAAAGAATAACAATCTTCACTGTGAAAAGAACAAGAAGACTTAATTGAAAGTTGTTTAATTAATTAGAATGGATGTTGTGGAATAAGGAAGTCATCCCCATGTTAAAAAAGTATCTGACTTCAAACAGAAGTGTAGGTAACTTTGAGAAATCAGATCTGAATCAGGAGAGTTTTTCATCTATATTCATATTTGTCTCCAATGGAAGAGGCTTTTGTTTTTTCTTCGTTTGCTTATTTAAGTGATCAAACGGGCAAAGCCTAGACAACCAGTGACTAGAAAGACACTGTCGGATTAATCTGGAACACCCAATTCCAGTGCGACATGGAAAAGCCTCTTCTCTCCACCCCATTCCGTTTAAATTCTGCACTATCCAATAATATGTGTTTGCTCCTGCTGCCTTCTGCAATAAGTTTCCTTTTTAATATAGAATATTCCTTTATCCTGTTCTCTATTCAGGTAGAAAGTGAACAATAGAAAAGCTATACAATCGTGGTCTTTAATTAATTCTGGATTTGAATACCATAGGCAAGCTGGTGACACTGTAATAAAAATGCCCCAGGAAAGCAACTTTTCTACTCTTAATAACTATCCTTAGAAAAGCCTGTAAGATTCGTTCTATTTTCTATTAGTCTAATAAACGTGTGTGAGCAGTTACTATTTTTTGGTATACTGGATAACATTGTGAAATATTTTTGAAAACTCTCACATTCTTCCTTCTTTTACTTTTCCCTTCCAATCCTTGGCTAATATTTATCTTGAAAATGCAAAGGCTATTTGGATAGTAGGTAGGCTTGTTTGTTTGCCATTTCAGCAGCAGGATCTGAACAATTGTAATGGCATTTGATAAATATTCTTCTCCCTTGGGCCTGTGACTAGCCCTGATACTTATAGTTCTTATTTTTACTGAAGAGAACATTGCTATCTAACTTTTAACAAAATTGCTAGACCAACAAGAGCCACTGTGAATGCCTATGTAATTTTCCTAGTAATCGTATAACACTAATTCCCCATGATAAATAATACTCAGTCCTCTGATACTAGATCAAAGTTATAAGGGGTCTACTCTGCTAAAAGAATACATCAGAGCTTATCAATCCTGCTTCAAGTTTAACTAAAGGCAAAGACATGGATATCTATTTAAATAAAAACAACAGAGTGATCCTTTGCAAAGAGATCCAAGAAAGATACATACTATTAATAAAAGTTAAATCAGATTAACAACAGTCCATTTATTTTCATTTATTTTATCTGTACTTCATGGGGATTTATAGTTATGCAACCGCATGCAAAGCTCTTTTCTCTGGAGGTGTCATCACTTTTCTTGAAGGCATTTGTCATCCTAGTATGGAGTTTATGTCATATGTTTGCATCAGATGCTGACTGGCTGTGACTTTATTGTTGCAATCTAGCATTATGAACAGGAAAATATCACAGAACAAATTAACAAATCCCCTTATCAGATGTTGACACTGACAAAAATCTACAAATCTGCACAAGGGGGAACAGTTATAGTATTGTTTATGTTTAAAAGACACTGCAGTGGTTCTCTCTAGGATACTTTTCTTATGGACTTACACTTGCCAAGTAATATAAGTTATGCAAGACGTCGTGTTTTATGATTTAATCTCTGTTACATAACATTCTCTGGAGGGCGGCAGATATTAGAGGATGATATAGCCTAACTGTGCCATTCTCCCAAGTTTAGGAGAATTAGAAAACTATCTTCTTACTAGAAATAAGAGTGAAGGCATGATTTTTCTTTATATTACGTGATATTAGGTTATGTTTGGTTCCGTTTAGTTTATTATTTGGCATTAGTCCAAATTAGCAAAAAAAAGTTTCTACGTCAAATGTCTTTCTGATAATGCTTTAACTGCCGCACATCTCTGATCCTTCAGAAATCCAATTCTAATAGTAAGATAGAAATTATAATATCAGGTATGGAGAATGGAGGAAATATTTTTACACTGTAAAAGTTCACACTCCTCCCTACAATAATAGACATTAAGAACAACCCAGATGCATAACCTTGTTCAGAAGGATCATTTGCACCCTCAGAGTACAGGCCGGGAGCACGTTCAGGCATCCTTTCCTCCGCGTGCAGCAAGTGCTGTCTGTTCTCTTAATGAGTCGTAGGTTCTGTTTCTGAGTTAGCATCAGATGTGAAAGTACACATACCAAGATTAGCAGCTTTGAGTTGGATTTTGAAAATCTCACAAAAAAATATTTAAAAGTTGTGGCTCTAAATATTTAGTCAGAGCTAATAACAGTTTGAAAATTATTGGTATTGGGGAAAATAGCAGCTGTACTCTTTGCAGGCACTGTTTACTTTTTGACTATTCCTCATTTGAATATGTATCTTGGTAGTTATGGATATGGAAAATCATCTTTTACTTTGTTATCTATGAATATTGATCAATGGCATGCTATTAAAACTTAAACGTTTACATGAATATTTAGATCATTTTGTTTCAAGGCCTCTCCTTTACGACTCCTCTGGATCAAGTCCCTGGTCCCGCTGAAGTGATAGTTTCTGCAGTCAGGGTCATATAGTCCCTAACTCGTTGCATTTCTCCAACGGCGACGAGATCTAAATATAACCTTATTATTATTATTAAAAATAAATACCCAGAGGTTGAGCCCTTATGCCTCAGTTTTAAAGCTACAGTATAAGCCCACGGCTGACTTGCATGTATTTGGCGTAACTTCTGTACGAGCATGAAAACGTGGGTGCCAGTCTGTACCCGTATTCCCTAATCTGAGTCCCAGTGCCTTATTTACGTGTTCCCTTTTATTTAGTCAAAGCTGTAACCGTTGCTGGCATTTTGGTGTTTCCTGCAGGCCGTGGAGTGGGAGTGCGACGAAGCTACCAAGAAAGCCTGCTACAGCAAGGGCAAATCCAAGGTAAGAAGGACGCAGTTGTGTGCCGTCATTGCCACCCTGTTTTGAAGGGCTAGATACAAACGTTTTCACAAGAAGGGTATTCCTGACTGTGGTGCCATGTATCGTGAAGAAAGTAAGATTCAAAATATGTCTACAAAACAAAAACAAAAACAAAATATGTCTACAGTAAATTTTCAAATTTTGAACATTAAATTAAAATTAGCCATAGCAACCAGTCACTTCTAGCCAAGGATTCCAAACATAAGATCTGGTCTAACTTGCACCGTCAGTTATTAGACTAAGAGATGGAAATTAATTAACTGTGATACCATTTAGAAAAATAAGGGCCTGAATTTTTTAAATGATATTTTAATTTTCTCCTTCCATGCTTTATAGCTAACTCTTAGAAAGTAATTGTATGATAAATAAAATTATATTAAAATAATTTGAGATTTGTTCTTTATAATTACCTTAACATATCCTTTGTAATGAGCTCTCTCTGTTTTCCTACTAAAATCTACATGGCGAAGTTTCCAGGGAAAGTGCAGGTTATACGCAAGGTTAGAAATGCAATTTTTTTGGCAGCTGTGCGTGTTGTGGGCTCACTCTCTCTCACACGGTTGGCCAGCTCAGTGGGAGGCACGATTCTCGGCCTTTCGAGGATGTGTATGTGTCTTTGAGAAAATTATATGTGATCAGCTTGAGGAAATTCTTCTGCAACTGGTGGATGGGCTCACTATGTCTCATTCTGTTAGTGATTTTTTTTTATTTTTTTTGCTTCATTGGAGCTGGGCTTTCCCAATGGTGAATTACAATTTGGGTTACGGGAGAAAGCAGAGGCACACAGAGTAGCATGGAGGGCCTGCTCCCTTGGTCTCGGGGCCAAGAGCTTGGGGAAATATATTGCAAATGTAGAGAGTGCTGGCAAAAGGTCCTCCCACTGTCTGTATCTATGAGAGAGTATTATACACTTTATTTTACCCAATTTCATTTTGCCTTTTAACTGAGCAGTTTCGAGAATCAGACACTGCTGCAGGTCTCTGCCAACTTAATCATTGGGTTTCCTAAAACTGAATGAAGAACTTGGAAGAAGAGAAGGGAGAAAATGCATTCTCAGCCAGGGAAACAGAGACACAGGAAAAGCTAAGAGCAGAAATTGATGAAGGCTATTTCCTGAAAGATGTTTAACCTCAGAAAATGCATCTGAAAATATAATCATCAGAGATATAAGAAGATTTAAAGATAGCTCCAGGTTGCAAAGAACCAAAATATAGTGTCTTAGAATACCCCCCAAAATAAATAAATTAGTAAATAATATCATAAAACCTCATACATAGGAGACCTGGACAACCTTCTTAGTGAGTATGCATTATAGAAATTATGTATAAAACCTTTTCCTCCCTGCAGTGTGTGAGCCTCAATGTGGTGGGAGCGTGGCTGAGCTCTTTTCTCCTTCAAATAAGACCACCTGCCCTGGGGAAAGAGTACGCATAGTCAGATTTACATGAAGTGGGGGATAGAAAGGATGGCTTGTTGTCCTTCAACTAGTGGGATTTCCTGATGGAAAGCATGGGTCTTTCTTGGGTTGGTTCCAAGGCCAACGCTGTGCCTCGCCTCGGGATATGGGAACCTCCCAGGAGATCCGGGCGCTGTCTGATGACCCATCCCTCTTGCCTTCCCTCTCTTTTTCTCTCATATTTCTTCTTGTCTTTATCCTCCTTTTCGTATATTGGCTCTTCCCTCTCACCTCTCCTTTCTTTCTGGGTCTCCTGGGTACACCAGTAAGCGTTATTCAGCTTCGGGAAGCCTAGCAACGGGGTCTGTGGGTAGACACCTGTCGCAGTGTCCGTCCCTGAAGATGTTTCCCTGCTAGTGCCAGAACTTCAAGTTCCCGCTCCTTCCTCTCTCTCCTGGGTCCCATGTGCTGTTCCCTTAGTCATGCCTTAATGCTCCCCACCTGCCTCCCTCACCCAGGACTCAGTGTCCCTATCCCAAACTGAGTCATTTTGAGTCTTGTAAAATCCAGTAGCCATTTGTACTTGCCTGGCCACACTGCAGTTCAGTGATCCAGCCCTGGGCCAGGAGCTGGCTGGGTGGCTCCTTGCTGATCCACATGCCCTCCCTGACCCCAGGCTGAACCCACCATGGTGTTGGAGGACGCTCTACCGAACCAGCGAGTGAACACGAGGAGCCCGTACCAGGGCAGGGCGCTTTGGTTCAGGGTCTCTCGCCCTCACGCTGCTGATGTTGGGGCAGATCGTTCTTTCTTGCAGGGGCCCCTCCTGCACACTGCGGGGCATGTGGCAGCTTCCTTGGCCTCTGCCCACCCAGGCAGGACAACCCAAAAGAACCACAGATGTCTCCGGGCATTGCCAGACATTGACCTGGTGGAGATTCCCTGCTTTAATGTCTAAGATGGCAAATGTATTGGTGACTTTTACACTGTTCGTTTTGATTTTTGTTCTCCCTAGGAGTGCTTCCGTATTTCTTCTGGACCGCATGTATATGTCTGTTTCACAGACTTAAAAAATGAACTGTGAATATCCTTTCCCTCTATGCACTTGAGTCTCTTTGTGCTCCTGTGTACTATAGGAAAGCATCAGATGGCTTAATCTAGTCAGGGCTTTTTTTTTTTTCCTTCTTATAGTCTGCAAGTCCATAATTTTGAAGGAATCTATGTGCTTGTATGCTGCAAATAGGTTATTACTAGTCGGGCTGAAAAATTGCTCTTGCTGCATCAAGACTGGCCCACGTTTTGCCTTAACCTGTGATTATTGGTTATTGAGCAAGTAAAAACCAGAGAATAAACCTCAAAAGGCTATCCTTCACGCCTAATAGACAACATTCCCTTAATTCTCAGAAGAGACCAGTGGTTGTTACTACGCTTAATTGACTTTTCTTGATGCACAGAAAATGAGGGAGACAAGCATTGTCAAATAAAATCATACCTTTACATTTCACATGCTTTTGTTCTTCATAAATTAAGAATAATGGCAAATCCTATTAATTATAAATTGACTCAAACTGTATTTGTGGATGGATTATTTTTAACACTAATATGGCAACAGGTGGAGATGAATGGCAAGAGCCGTATACTCAGAGAAGGATAAATCTCATGTTGTTTTAGGCTGCACTAAGTATATTGATAAATTTAGCTAGAATTTTAAATAACCTCTACTCCTTTGAAATAGCATTCGGCTTATGCAGCAGAACTGTGCACGTGGGAAGTTTGTGTACAAAACATGGAAGATTCATAAACATGTTGGTCTAGACAGTGCTGCATGCTGGTCCCAGGTGGTGGCAGTGAACGGCTCTTTGTCTTCCTTGGCAAGTCGCCTTTCCTTACTTGGCATCTCTTGCCTACTTAACGTGGTGACTGGACGTAACAATCAGGTGAGGAACCCAAGCAGAGCCCTGGGAGAGAACCAAGGCAGTCCCTGCGAATACAAGGAACCAGGTCAAGCACGGACTGCCGGAGGACTGGCCACTGACTTGGAATTCAGACCATCCCGACCTCCCTGTTCCGACAGTTCCTGGGGGCCAAGTCAGATGACATTTCCACGGTCGATTTGACTGATATGTAATGTCTTTTTGGGGGAGTGGAATTCAGACTATTTTTTGGTGGTCATGAGTTTAGAAGGAGAATTCAACTATTTTATAATTTTGCTTGTGTTGTAGGATGAGTAGAACTTGCACAGAATCACAAAGTTTCCCTTCTTCCTGAAATAAAAAGAATAATGTAAAATGGGACATCTCAGAAATGAGAAAAATGCCAGCCATTTGAACTGAACTTTTTTTTTTACCCTCCCTACCCTAAGAAAAGTGGCCTGTGCTGTCCCACATAATGCGTTTTACTGCAGAGCAGAAAGCAGGGCTGGAATGTGACGCGTGGAAGGAGGTGGCCGGGCCTGCAGGGGGATGCTGCCTGCACCCACTTGCTTCTCTGATGAGAACATTCCTTAGCTGGCTGCAGAGCACAGGGGAACAAAATGGACACATTTCCTTTTGTTTTCCTGGTATTGCTGTGGCCAGACAAAGACATAATTTTGTGTGTAGGGCATTAAAATTTCAATTTAAGGAATCAGGGCCAAGAGAAGTTATCCAAATCTTTGATTTGGGATGGATTCAAAAAGAAGGTAGGTACTGACACCATCAATTCTTTGCAAGGTTTGAGTTCTATTTGATCTATTTCCGCTCACTTTGGAGAGAGGAAGTGACTTTGCTTGCAGTGGCTTAAACATTCCATGTAAAAAGGAGAAATAGAATCTGATTTTATGGATTCAAATTTATAATAAAATCTGTAGCATTTAGTTCTTTTGGATATAGCATTATAGAAATCGTATTCTAGAATTACATAAATATCTTTTACACAAATATTATTGTAGACACAAATAGTCTATTCTCTCATGATCTAACAACAGCTCCTTGTCTGTTTGGGGCTATTATGTCTGAACTGAAGTTCCTCCCACGATGACATTTAGGAACTTTACAAAGGAAACATAGCTGATTATTAAGGGAATAAAAGCGCTGCTTTGTGCTTATATTACAGTTTATAATTTTCAAAAGTTTCTTGTTCACGATCTCATTTCAGGATTTTTAACACCAAGTTCCTAGAATGATTTTGTTAGTTAGTGGGAGAGTTTTGATTAGAATTCAGGGTTTTATGTATTGTTCATCCTGTTGGTCCTATTTCCCAAGCTGTCAAATTGTGCCAGTAAAGAGGTAAACTCCTAGTGATTAAGAGAAGAAAAATGGGACACCATTCTGCCTTGGAGTCTGGTTGTGCAAGGCTGGGCCTTGATATTTTTACCCAAAGTGCCAATATTTTGAAAGCTGTGGGTTTATCAATGAATGAAATGCATTATAGCCCTGCCTTTATCATATATAACTGCTTTAAAAATCGAGGATACTTTAGATTAAATAATAACAAGCTGTCCAGATTATGGACATCAAATTTTGGTCTTTTAAATTGAGGTGCCCAAACAAGTTTCCCCCTGAGTCATCTCAGGTGAAAATAGTCACAGTATGCAAATATATACAGTATAGTATATTTTAACACATTAATGCACTATATATTACATAGCATGTGATATATATTTATATATGTGTGTCTATACATTTCACCTAGAATATGTATTACATATATACATATGTGCATATATACATATGTAATACATATACAAAATTACATATGTATATATTTTAGACACACATACCTGATTGGATGGCATGGTTTTTCCACAGTCACCTGGTAATCGTGACATTGGTTGGTGTACATTGCATTCAACTCTTAAAGGCTGGTGCGATTCCTGCAAATTGCTCCTCTTCAGCACCTTGGATAATCCTGAAGCTAATGCATTATGAAGAGAAGAGGTGGCACTTTCACTGGGAGGGCTGTGATTAACATAAAGGCCCTCAGGCTTCCAAGCCTCATCTCTTCTCCCCAAAACTGATGGGCTGGGAGTTGTTAAGAAGCCCCTGAAGGGTCCGCTGTGTCTGCAGGTCACCTTTCTACTATACAGTCATACGGCCTTTCTTCAGGCAGCACATACCTGTTTGAAAAAGGATTGATGAAATGCTATAGGGTAACACAAATTAATTTATTGAGCAGACGGCCCTAAAACAAGTGTTTTCTCTAGTGGCGCTTGGGGCCCTGTGTCCTTGAGACCCAATGGGCACTGGCAGGTCTCCATCTAAAAGCCGTTTCTCTGAATCAGCAACCTGCACCTCCGCTATCAATTCAAACAGGCATCGCCTCCCAGTCAAGGGCAGGCTGAGCCGCCCCTGGATCGCAGGCCCGCATGGGTCGTTGTAAGGTTCGGGTGCCGTTATGGAAGTGCAGATGGATGGCTCTGTTATCAACCACAGAGCCACGCGCTGCTAGTGGCCCTGGGGATGTCTCTATGAGTTCGTGGAGAACCAGAGCCCAGTAAATCCTCTTAACCCATTTTCAGGGCACAGAAATGGGATAAAAGAAAAAATTCTTAAATAAGAAAAAGGAAAATCACGGACATTTAAGTATGCTGATTTATATAAGAGAAACCTCTAAAAGAATCTCCTAACGGGACTTTTACATTATGCCCATATTTTAAAATAGGTGATTCCAAAGTACTTCAAGCGAGTTCTGGTAACTCACGAAAAGGCCGAGTTTGCAGCGGGGATGGGCAGAGCCTTTACCAGGAGATGGTCTATGGGGGCATTCTAGTCTTAGGATCACCATCAGGGGGAAGCTAATTATTACACAGACTGGGACGCTGGGCCGTTTTTCCTTTCCTTCTTAAGTCTCACTTTCCAATTCCTAAATTTATCTTCTGCTTAAAAGCTAAGTACCTCCACTTTCTTCCTTTTTCTGCGTTTTTACATTCTGTTTTGTTTGAACTTGCCTCAATCTCTCTTTTTTAAAAAGGCGTTATTTTAAATGACTTTATTTGTGTAGAAATCGCATCCAAGATATGCATTCCAGGATCAGTGAAAGCAGGTTGCGAATGACACATGTCACCATGCTTTTAAGGGAGTGAGGCCAGAAGGATGTGAGACTCTCTGGTTGGAGGGCCCAGTGAGGGGGCAGGCGCCCTCCGAGCCTCCCTGGCAGGAACTCAGGCCCCCTCCTCCACCCTGTGCCAGCAGGCCCTGCTGTGACTGGGCTCAACCAGAACATCACCTGCCCCAGGCCCCGATTATCCTGTGCTCCTCTGGGTTCACAGGGCTGGGTCCATCCTCCATCATTTTATGAAAATTCTGCATAGGCCTCCTTGGCTGAGCATTCTGATTCCTGACATTTAGGACATGGTCTTTTATTTTCTACTGTCATTTAAATAATTCTGTGTCCTCCTTATTTCCTGTTTTCTGGGGCTTTTGTTTGTTTGTTTGTTTGTTTTTAAACTACCTGTTGTGTTCGCCCTGCCCCTCTTGGCACAGGTCTGCATCCTGACCATCACGTTCCGCACCTGTACGCACCTGACTTTCCGCTTTTCATAATCAGGCTTGTGATTGGCCTTCGGGAAGGGTAACCGCCTGCAGTCTCATTTGCCCTTTGTTCTTCTTTTGGAAAATTAAGATAAACCCACACTGGCTGTCCTGGTCGTTTCCCTTTCCGTAATTGCCTAGAGACACTTGGTTTCCCTTCGCCAAGGGAAGTTATTCTCTTGGAATAACTCACCCTTGCCCATGTCGTTTGTCATGCAAATGCCTCTGCACATTTGGACCTTGTGGCAGGCTCTTGTTTTTTAGTTGTTGTTTTTGTTTTGTTTTAAAAAGCCTTTTACTTCTTGCCTTGCTCTTGAAAGAGTTCTAAAAGCAGCAGCACAAAACAAGCAAAATGCCCACCCACCCCTTTTACCATTTGTAATTTCCCATCCGGGTCTCTATTACAAGGATGCCATCCTCATGTCTTCTCATGATTACGGCCTCAGCACCTACCAGCAGTGTGCTCCGGAAGTGTCTCTGTGGCTGTCCCTCTGGCAGGGGTGGGTTTCTGGCTCCCTCCTCGCTCTGCCCCCTGTCTTTGGACTCCTGTGGCCTCTGCTCTCTGGGGCGGCGGTGATAGCTGTGCCCTCCTCTGGGTTCTGGGTCCAAAAAGGGTCAACTGTGGGGTTCCCTGAAGTATTCTGTTTTATTCCTTCCCTTTCCAACTCTCCTGTCTTTTGGCCAGTTATAAGAACAAAGGAGAACAAAACAAAACCAGCCTTCCTATCTGGGGTACCTACCTAATTTGCTGTCTACTGTTTATATTCACTTCTTAATTCTTTTCATGGTCAACGTAGATCTTTCTTTTTTATTTTTTTCCTGAGCATAGCAGCGAATAACAGGTTGCTGTTACTGTTAGTGTAAGGAGAATCATACCCTCCTTATGGAAATACCAATACCCTTGGTATTTCACTTTGCCTTCGGAAAGCAAATTCAAATGTCTGAGCACTTCCATCGTCCCTACCAGGCCGTGGGGCAGACCGGGTTATGGCAAGGCAGTGTGTTCATGTGGAGCGTGGGCCATTTGGTTAAGGAGAGGATTGCTGTACCCTTCAATCCAGATTGTCCTGATTCCGGACACTAAGTGAATCATGCAGCATCTCCTGTGTCCAGCTGGCTGGTTGGTCACCACAGCCTGTTCTTTGCTAGATGCTGGCTCTAGCCGTTCACACCTACCATCTGGTCCAGGCACAAAACGACGAGAGCCTGAATTGTGGAAGTGGCTCCCTCCCAGCCTCCCTCACACCGCAGCCTCCCATCTCCAGCTTACCCTGCACGCTGACAAACATGAGATCAAGTTGAAACTCCATGCAGTAAAAGCACTGAATGGGTCCTTCCATGTTCAGAGTCAAATGCAAACTCACCAGCCGGGCTCACCTGGCCAGTGCGTGTGTAACCTCTTCTCGTACACGATGACAGCACCACGCTTTCTCTAGCACGGTGCCTTGGCACAGTTTGTTCCTCTTGCCTCGATGTCTTTTCCCTCCTTTGCTCAGTCAAGTCCTGCGGGGGCCCTGTAATTGCCCCCTCCAGGAAGCCACATTAAGTCTTAACCCTCCTTTAAAACTTAGCTAACGTGTCACCTCCTCCAGGAAGCCTTCCTATACCGTTCCCTCCCCTGTTGCTTTGTAGCTAGGTATTCTGCCTTTCTTCTGCGTGTCCTCATTATAGCATGTGGACGGCTCCAGGTCATTGTTATGAACCTGTATTTTAATTTTCTGCCAAGGGCTTGGTTTGTGACTTCTAGCACAGTTCCTACCGAAGTGCAGGTACTCAGTATGCTTATTCAATGAATGAAGAGCTTTCTGGCTCACATGCCCATCACTACTATGGCTGCACCCTGGATTTTCTATGTATGCTTTGCAACCATAAAAGACATGCAACTCTAGGTAATCCTTCAGCATGGGCTTCGGTGCCAAATGTTCCAGACACCCTTTCCTTATTAGTTACATTTTTAGCTGTCAAATGAATTAAAAGTGTTTATAGGTACTTGCCATGTATGTAATGCAGTTCGAGCCCATAAAGTAAAACTCGTTCCAGTTTGTGTGCAGAATTCCACATGTGATCTTGGATTGGAAAAGCATTTGCAACATGTTTGCAAAGTCCTGGGGAAGTTTTTCCAGGCACTGTTTCATGAACAGCATCTAATAGGTTCTTTTTATTTATTTTCCTAATAGATGTTTAATGAAATTTAGAGTTTGCACTATTGCCACATACAATTCAAAAGGAAGCCATAATTGTCAAAAGAAGACATGTGCTTTGAGAATTTAATTGAACATATATTTATCTTAATATGTATTCTCTGATGAGCAAGGTAAAGACACAGGATGCCGATTGATTTAATAAAAGTCAAATTATTTAATAGCTTTGTTGTTATTTTTAGCCAATATCTGAAAGAGTTTTTTGCTTTGTTTTCAGTGGTTAACACTTTATGAGCCAGATAAAATGGATTCATACTCATCATTCCTCCTGCACTCAGACCTTGTTGACATGTTTCTTGTGTTTTGTTTTGTTTTGTTAGGAGGAATGTCAGAACTACATCCGGGTGCTTTTGGTGGGTGGCGACCGGTTATTCACCTGTGGGACCAACGCTTTCACACCTGTCTGTACCAACCGCTCGGTAAGGCTTCATTTTGAGCCTCAACAGAACTTAACATCGGGAGAGGCCAAATATTGCATTAAAAATCCTAGTTTTAAGTGTATTTCTGTACACCAGGGTGTTGCTTTTTAATTTAAAAGCAGATTTTGTCAAATTGAATACATATTTGATTTTATTTCTAATCATGACTGCCAATCATATAAAGAACCAGAAATAATTATAGTTTGAGCAATTAACTCTAAATACGTTTCTAAACCATTTCAACCAGCATTTTCCCCACCCCAGTGACTCTAAACATCAATCAAAAACATATTATTTTTCCTTATTCTGCTCTATGATAGAGATATGCTAAGTATTAAAATGGTCTAAAATCATAATGCAAAGGAAGAAAATGCAGTCTACAAATTGGATAAGAGGTAGGTGAGAAAAGTAAAACAAATATACAAACAAATGTAACCCTAAGCAAATTCAAGTTGTAACTGACTCTCTTTCTCTTTTTCAAGCCAGCATCACTGACAAAGGAATTGTCAGTGTGCATGTCCCATAACAGTAGCGCAGCAGGGTCATCACACCACACCTGGAATCTTCCTAATTCAGAATACTAATCTATCTATCCTCCTGAGGGGATATGATGGGGAAATATCATTATGTCAGTTTCCTAGTTGCACAACTTCTCTCAAAACCTTAATTTGTCGTCTGTGTTGACTGTTTGTTATTTCAAATTAACATTCAGTTATGGTAAGCAAAGGGAGGAGGAAGACGATGAGGGAAGAGATGCGATGCTCACAGAGATCTCCCTGGGCTCTGTGCTCTCTCTCCACCTGCCCAGCCCCTGCCCCCGCCATGCCTGCTGTCTGTCATTCAGTCCTCAACATCCAATACCCATGAGGTAGTTACTCCCTGGGATCCCCTTTTGTAAGAGAAGAACCTGAGACATAAAGTGTGTTCGCAAATGATCATGAGATCTATGGAGGAAGGAAAAGGAGAAACTTTCCTTTCAGGGAGACAGAAGAGAAGAAAGAGCTGGCATTTATGTCCTTTGGGGTCTTTCTTACATGTATATTTGGCAGGCAAGGGAGAAATCCAATGAATATTTAGGAGGGAAGCCAAGCACATGCACAGTAGGCAAACATATATGTAACATACATTCTATGTTCACTTTAGCATGGAGTTTTAGCATGGAGTTTTAGCATGAAAATGAGGATGAATTTGGCAGTTTTCATTACAAGATGAACTGTATAAAGAGGGTATAAAGATGGCACACAGAGGGCATAAAGACCCTCTGTGTGCCATCTTGTTGAACCAGGTGAAACTGGGTCCTGAGTGTGGCTGTGTATGAGGAAGAATGTTTGCAAGGTGAGGCCCTGCCTTGCTGGCCAGACCACAGGGGGGCAGGGATAATCCAGTGGGCTGGGCTGTCCACTGGGGTCAGTTGGGAAATTCCCAGTTGTAGCTGTTTTGACAATTTTTTTAAGGGCTAGTTTCTTCTCAGTTATAGAAAAGAAGACCTATGGCAGTCAGTTATACAGGGTTCCTGAGCAGCCCCTCTCCCTGCATGGCCACTCGATTCTGTTTCTGTTGTGACTTATCTTAGCCACAGGGTATTCATTTCGTCTGTCAGCTGGGGGTAAATCTTATCACGAGTTTAGGGAACGTATCCAGGCTACACGTGCAGCAGCAGCGTCAGCCGTGTGCCTGTGTCTGCCCGCCTCACCCTTCTGCTCTAGCACCTCTCAGCTTCGAACAAAGTCCTGCAAAGACTCCCCTGGCACCCAAGAGCTTTTCTTGTTCAACAAGTGGTTGGGAATCCAGCAGTAGGAAGCTGAACTCGTACACAGTGACCCCAAGACGCCCTGGGGTGTCTCTCCGGAAATGGGAGCTGCGTGGTGCTAAAGAGCCACACAACCTCACCTGCCAGAACATGGTTTGGGGCTATTCACAGTGTTTCGCTGCACTGTTATTAATAAAATTGTACATAATTCTTTATTGTGATTTCTAGTTCTGTAAATCTTAGTTTCTGTATTAAGATGGAAAAATATGCAACACGTGTGCACTATAAATCAAAGGCATATAGACAATAATGTTATTTTCATGTTTTGTGGGCATTCAGTGGTGGTTTGAGGCTCAGTAACTCTAAAGGGCTGAGAGAGACAGACGGATTGATGGAGTCTCCAACCATGGCCACAGACGGCTGGTTTCATCAGTCAGCGTGTCAACGTTGGTCACGTCTAATCACGCGCCCCAGAGAGCTCAGGGCACACGCTTCGCTGCGGCTGAGGTGGCTGTAACCCATTAGCACTAGCAAAGGGGCGCTCTCATGGGATACCCGGTTTCTCTCTCGTCTTTGCCCACAGCTGAGCAACCTGACCGAGATCCACGATCAGATCAGCGGCATGGCCCGCTGTCCTTACAGCCCGCAGCACAACTCCACGGCCCTGCTCACGGCCGGAGGGGAGCTGTACGCGGCCACCGCCATGGATTTCCCAGGACGCGATCCTGCCATTTACCGGAGTCTGGGCATCCTGCCCCCCCTCCGCACGGCGCAGTACAACTCCAAATGGCTCAACGGTAAGCCTTGCCGTCTCTCCTCATTCCCCATCGCATCTGTTGGTGATGATCGGTTATTTGGTGCTCAGAAGCAAAACCGTTACACTTTCCAAATAAAATCAAATTCTTCATTTTCTAAAGAAATCAAAATGTACCTTGTTTAGGACTAATGACAGGAAGGACATCACGTGGCTCTTGAGTACTAGGAAAAGAAATGGTATTACAAACACTGTAGACCTGATAATAGAGCTAATCTCTGTATGTTCATTCATCTAAGGTAAGTTTTTTTCTTCTCTATTATTGTTTGAAGTCTAGAAGATTTGATGTGTTGTCATAGATATTCATAGATTCATGTACATTCCTTCTTTATGTATCTAGAAAAGGAAATTATTAACATATAATGAAATGTTCAGACACCGTATAAAAGAATCTGACTGGCTATAGGTAACTCCAAATAACTTGACAATTAATAATAAAAAAACTATAACTCACATACCTATAAGTCAGTGGTAGGTGTCTTCAGAATGTATTAATTCAGTGGCTCAGGAGTTTCTAAGGACCCTCATGTTGTCACTGCTGTCTCTGCCATCTACACCCAGCTCTGCTTATGGATACAAAATTACTGCTGCAGTTTCAGGGATTGCATCCACATGTGGCAATATGCACTGGAAGAAGTGCCACATCCCTGTGTCACCCCCTTTTTTTGAAAAAAAAAAGAAACCAAGAAACGCTCAAAATTTTATTTTAATTCTGGGCCAGAATCTGGTCAACTACTCACTAGGCAGTCAAAAGATGGTGCCAATCATCTGTATCGAGATTGGCTACACACACACACACACACACACACACACACAAAGGCAGTGCATATGCACTGTGTGTAATCCAGTGACTGAAGCATTTATTTGATAGTTTGCACAAAGATGGATTCTTGAGATTGCCATTATTGTAAAACACATTATTCGGATACCCCAAGTTCTATAATGACTTAGTGACTTTCTGCCCAATACAAGCTAATTATGTAGACCAGAGTTTCTCAGCCTCAGCACTATTAGTGTTTGAGCCAGTTCATTCTTTGTGGTGGTAGTGGGGGATATTGTACCTGGCATTATGGGATGTTTAGCTGCATCTTTGCCCTATATCCACTATATGCCAGTAGCATACACCCTCTGCTTAGTTGTAAAAACGAAAACTGTTTCCAGAAATTTTTCAATATCCCCTGGTGGAAAAAATTGCCCTTAATTGAGAACCACTGGTTTAGACCCATCATTTATGCATATTTCTGTGTTCGTGTAGGTATAATATAGGCAATCTAAGCATCACAGTTTACCTTTAAAAGATTCCCTTGTAGAAAAGAGAATGTCTTCATCATTAACTTTCTCCAGTAAATTGAATGACTCTATTGCTTCCAAAGGGCAACATGAATTGTTTCCCCAAACTGAAGCACTAACTAGATTTCTCCCATTACCATTATTTCTGTTGAACTGGCCTTAGCTGCACCAATTGACTCTATGGGAGGTCCCCTTTTTGCCTTGAAACTTTCATCTGTGTAGTTTAAAGTTGTTCTTGCTATTTATTTGTTGATTTTTCTTTTTTACTGCCTAAGGAAAGTTTCCAGTTAAAAATTAGGGTTTGCAGAAAAAAGTAAAAAGTAATCAGGAGCACAGTCTCCTTCTTTTCCAGTCGTAACACCATAAGAATACCCTGCAAAAACAACGCAGAATGTAGCATGAGTTATAAACGCCGTCTGTTTCTTACGTGTGAGTCAGAGGCCACTGCCAGGCCACGTGGTCCGTTTACCTCCTGCAGGGAATCCCTTCCCTTTGGGAGTGAGGTGGTGGCACACGGACAGAGGAAGAGCTAGCCCAGTGCCTAGCACAGGCACGGTAGGCATAGCACTGTCGCTTGCGGTACAAAGAAATGAATGCTTCAGATTCCTAAAATGTGCTGCTGTTAATTTATAATGTCTGATAAGTGCAGAAATTCAAAATAATTCAAAGGTTAAATATGGTGGCTCTACCACTCAGCCAGTAGTGCCGGCAGATTTCGAGTGACACCGAATAGCCTGCATTTCCCAGGAGAGCAGCACCCACCCACCCAGCTCCCCCACCCTCCCTGGCCTACACGGGGAGGGTCCTTCACACCCAGGCAGAGAGCAGACAGCCCTGCCTGGTGGCTCCCAGTTCTTGCACGTGAAGTGTTATCTTGCTACCCTCTCGTGTGTTTTGTTGGAGCACTTCCTTCAGCTGCAGAACCCTGAGATGTTCTTTCCACCCCTGGCTGGCCCTGGTTTTCTTCTCTGATTGATCCTCATTCCAGGATGGATTCTGGCCTCTGACGGGGCCACCACTCAGCTCTGCTTCCATCCCTTGCAGAGCCTGGACGTGGGAACCTTTATTCTCATCGCCTAATTGTAACAGGCATTTGCATCTCATGGGCTCTTTGCCAGATGCCCTGTCTCAGGGCTGCCGACTTTAGTTCTTCTCCCTTCCTGCTCATGTTGGCCCTAGCACATCCAGCCCTAGGGAAATCCAGCCCCAGGGGAATGCACCATTGGTTTCCACATCTCCAAACACATGAGGATGCTGGAGAGAGTCACCCTCCAGGGAAGGTGTAGCCGAGGTGCAGTCTCCATCCTCAGTGAACACCCCAGGCAGCTCTGTAATGGTGTGCGCCCCCATCCCTGCACCCCCGATTCTCCCTCCTAAGGCCTCTCCAGCCCGAGCTTCCCAGTGGGTTTCTCTCACTTCCCACTTGGTAGCCCCAGAGGGTTCCTCCCACCCACCCCTCAAACTTACTCTTTCCTGTCACACTTGGTCTGATCATTCCCACTGTGTTCTGGAGAAATTCTCTTTTCTTTTTTGCTCGAATTTGTTGCCTTATCCTCTTTCCCTTCTTTCATTATAATGTTAATTTATTTGCCTTTCTAATGGTGATCGCCATTATTTTAGAAAAATGCTCCGATCTCTTTCCTCTTAAATATGACAAAAAAACAACCAAGATATCCACAGGAGCGACTAACAGATACCCTTGGTTTCTGCCATGTCCAAGAATGCTCCTATTTCCTGTTGTGATTTTAGGGACCCATTAAATGATGCTCTGAAGTTCTTCTGAGTTTTCAACCAACTGAGTCAACACGTTAGATCCTGGAGTTGGATCTGATCTGCATAGAGCTTTGTGGGGAGCAGGGCGGAGGCTGCAGGGGGTTGGTGAGGGGTTGGTCTTCTTGTTTCAGGGGCAATGCGACCGAAAGTCTCTCTAGGCAGAGGCAGGAGGCGAGGGGAATGTGCCCCCTCTGTCTGTCACCTTCTGGTCCTGGCAGACTTGCTGAGCTACAGCAATCTCAACTCACACCCTTCAGGCCCTTCCCATCTTCCCTGCCCTCACGCCCACCACACTGCTCTGCAGCTACTCTCCGAGTACCACAACGTCTACTTATAGCCTTCGAGGACTGATTTCCAGTCATCGCGTCGCCTGTCTCCTTAGAAGGGTTAGCATTGTTTCCTCGAAGCTTCTTAGAAAGTTGATGCTGCACCAGACTTAGCTGGTTCATGCTTCTGCATAAGCATCTCCTAAATCCCCAACTCCTTATCCAAAGCTGGTCTTTGAGCCTCGGTGATCCCTAGGGATTCTGTCCTCAATCCCACGCTTTTCTAGAATTCCCACCTATTCCAAAGTTTTAACTACCTCGGCCCACACCATGCCCCCACCCTCTGAGGACCAATTGCAGATCTGGTCTCAGCTCCATCTGTGATGGTCACTTCTAGCTGGACACTCCCTGGGGCACTTCTGGCTCCCCAAGACCCAAGTCCTCTCGGGATCTGGCCCCCACCCGGGCTGCCCCTCCACTGGATGCTCTTCCGCAAACCGCTGGGGAGGCCCAGCTCCAGTGTCTCTTCTTCCGAGGAACCCTCTCAGGTCCTTCTGTCCAAGTGGCATCCCCAGGCCCTCTCCCCAACCACCCTGCAGCTGCCTTCCTGGCAGGAATCGCAATTTGTCATCACCTTATTGATTATTTAAGCCAGTTCCACGTCCGATCACACAGGTCTTGTCCGTTCCTTGGTGTTCAGCATGCCTGGTCCGTGTGCAGCAAATGTGCACCAAGTGAATGCACAGACACGGCTGCGGGTGGGTGGGTGGATGGTCTCCTGTCTGCTACAGGTGGCTCCTTGGTGTATGAGCAGACTGATCCTTCAAAAATCCGAATGTCACCATGTTCTTCCTCAAGTCTTTGCAGAGCATCCCACTGTGTGCAAAGGGGGTGAGAAGCACAAAGCCAGGTGGCAAGTGTGAGTGCCACCCATGGAGCCTGTGTGCGTGCACGCTGTGACCTGAGCAGCCAGGCCATCACGTTTCTGTGAAGAAGTCAGAAATTTGGATTTTCTTCTGAAATCTAGTTGGTTTTTTTTTTGTTTGTTTGTTTTTTTAATGCTGACAATGAACTGTTCTTAATGCCTAACGAACCAGCACAGACGGGACTAAACATCTCATTGCTAGAGGCAGAATTCAGCCAGGGCTGCCAGTTTTCAGTCTCATCAGCCCCATTGGTTGCTTCGGGACCTGGCCCTACCTTCCATCCTCCAGCTCTTGTCCCGCTTCTGTGACCCTGCCTCTAGGACTCCCGCCCCGTCCCACCGCCCCTACACTCTGTTCTCTGGCTAACTTCAAATGCCTCAGGAGTCCCATGTTCCCACAAAAAGCCCTCCTTAGCCCTCCACGTTTCTCCTCCCCAAGGGTGCAAGCACGTGTTCCTCCCTCCCTGTGCCCTCCACCGCGTGCCCCTCCTTTGCACTTCTGTGCCTCCCTGGATGGTGCGGTGGTGCGGGCCAGTGCACTGTTTGTTTTCCAAAGTGTCTTTTGAAGCCTAGAAGAAGAAGATGGAGGCTTTGGAGTCAGACAGAACTGAGGCTGAATCCACGACAGCCCTCGGGGCACTGACTTGTCTCACCAGTTCTGGCCACTGCCTCCTCCTCCTCCTCTTCCTCCTCTTCCTCAGCAGCATGGAGGTCACTAACTGCCTGACC